TTAAACTCAATTAATTATATTGCATCATGTCCTCAACCAACTGATTGGCAGCTTGCCTTTTAGACTGTGTTTAGTGTTTTACTTATTCTCATTGATTACTCAATGAGATAATGAGATATCTCAAGAAACAGTCTCTTCTTTGAAATCTCCCCTCTAATATCCTAGGGTTATCTTGGCAAGTCTCTGACTTCTGTCCTTGGGGAAGAGAAAGAAGCATTTGACTCTTTGTCCATCTGCTTCCGTTATAGCCTCCTGACTTCCTGTCGCTAGTCTTGTGTCTTCGGTTATCATCACACACATGTTCACTAAGGATTTAGAGTATATCTAGTCGAACATCTCAAGCAGGAAGTTGGGGAGAGAGCCCACGGAGAGGGAAACCGAAAAACAAGAGATGTCAACAACAGGGTAGTTGAAGTCTCAGAAAAGAAGAAAAGAATGAGAGTGATTTCTGCTGAAAATAAGTAGGAATAGAGAGCTATTTCTTTCATTATTTAACATTCCTTTTTACTTACTTTCCTAATTTTTAATACCTGGACAAAAGCATGTTTCACTAGGTGTATGTTTTGGAATTTGGGGACTTCCTGAGGTTCTGGTGATCTTTAGCAGAGAAGTTTAGTTAGTTCATGTCTCTTTGGTCAATCCCATAATTAGTGAGTGGTTCCAAAGCGCTGCGTCCTATTAGAAGGTTACCAGATTTCACATCGAAAGTGTTTCCAATTTATTCAGCAAATATCTATTACACCCCTGGTAGATGGCACTGTATTCCATGTTATAACAGGTTTCCTCATGGCATAAAAGTGGGAAGGAGCTCAAGAAGGTATGTATATGCCTTCTTTGTTCCAAATTATTTTGCCGTAAGGAACTTCACAATGCCCAATGCAATATTACCCTGACAGAACATGCAATAGACTATCTGGCCACTCTGCATTTGAATTGTTGGCATTTCATGTGTCTTAGCCTTTTTCTTCTCGAAGGAAAGTCTTTCCATTCGTAGCATGATAACTGATTGATAAAACAACTTTACTTTTAACTTAAACCATTTTTTTTCCTTTGGACTTTGGTTGCTGATTAAAACATTTAGCAATATAATTAAAAGTAATTTAAATAGCTAATTAGATAGTGTTATAGACTAGTTTCCAGTAATACATTTCTTTAAACAAAGCATCCATCATTTATGGAGTGCAATTTGTCACTGGGTTACTGATACAAAAACAATTATATATTACGTGGAATAGAGCATCCACAAAATCAACTGTGGTGGTCTGTAAAAATAGCCATATCCATAACTTTTGAATAATTCTTATAGATCAGAAAAAGAGACATGGAAAATTTGGGCCTCCCCATATTAGTTGACTTTGCAACTGTCTAGTGTTGCAAATCATATTTTTGACAGTGAAGACCCGGATTAAAGCTATGTCAATGTTTTGACAAAATCAACTGATGAATTTAATCAACCGAATTGTCCACTTCGTCAAACAAATGTGTTGACAGAATGATTTGCTTATTTGTTGTTTCTTTATTAAGTTAAATTGTTTTTTTAACTTAATTGACTGGTTAAGTCAACATAATGTAGCCAGATGAATTCAAAGTTTGGAGGCAGTTTCAATGTGATTTTTTAAAAAAATGATTATACCAAGTTAAGAATCAACTGTCTCTTAACAAATGTGCAAAAAGCTAAAGTGTAAAACATTGCGGAGACTCACAAAAACATCTCTATCATTCCATTTAAACTGACTGAAATCATGAAACTAAATTCCCAAATTGGAACATTTTTATTATTCAATAATTCCATTATATAAAAATGTAAATTCATTAATGAAAATGTCTTTATCCATGAAAATAGAATGTCAGTATGGGAAAGGACTTTATGTTTAAGCACACATCTGATTTCTGAATGATAAATGAAGAATTTTATTGTAGGAAGACTAGAAATGCACTTTTGAGAAATTCAGTATGTATTTTGAGAATACCCTGCTGTAATGTTGACATGAGAACTATAAAAATAAAGTTACAGCCAACCTCTAATTATGTTAACTCTCTTTGATCAATGCTGTAGATATGCTAGGTTCTTTTGTTAGTGTATTTGTGTGTGTGTGTGTATATATGTGTATATATATATATATATATATATGTATGTGTGCATGAGAGAGAGAGAAAGATATTAAGATGTTAATGCCAGTCAGAATGGAATTTTTAACTGTGCAGTGTAGCTCAGTGACTTGCTGAGGAGTTATGCATGAAGTATATGGTACAGTTATATTTTTTCATAAATACACAAATGAGGTGTAAACTCATGTCACTCTCAATTTTGAAATAATAGATATGTTTCATGAACTGAATCAGTATTTTCTCCAAGTTTCAAGTGAAAATACTTATAAAATTTCTCTTTCCCTACCCGTCCCTTTTCCACTTCCCTGCTTCTCTCCCTTTTTCTCCTTTCCAATTTCATGCTTAATTAAAAAAAGCCGCAAGAAAAATTGCATATATTTATTTAAATACATGTCTTTTATATATATGCGCATGAGGGAGTTAGTCAACTATCAATGCAAATTTAAACTATCACTTATGTTTCTCTATAACTGATTCTCTTAATGTGGAAATCATCTTATTTGACAGTTGGTAAACACTTCATTTAGAATTTCAATTACATGCTTGTAAAAGAAGACTTGAGTTTTTACAACAATTAAACATTTGACTTTCTTCCAATAATGTACTGATTATGTTCACAATCTGGGAATGGTAAATTGCTAAACTTGACATAAAAGTACAGTTTTCTGTATAAAAATTAAATATATATGTTCAGCAAATATCTGAAG